GACAAAGAAGAAGGAAAAAAGGAAAAGGAAAAAATGGAAAAGTATAATTCCTTCATTTTTTTAAAAATCATTTTTACAAAAAATTTTTTAAAAAAAGTAGTAAGAAATATTCTGGTCCATTAAGTCGTATACATTTCTTACCGTTGCCACAACTGGACCTCGTCAGTACGATGATTGCGGTAACGAAATTAATTAAAATAGTTAAAATTAAGAGCGGCTTGATATTGGCTTAAGTAGTGGAAAAGGTTAAGGTAATAAAAAGGAGAGGGGTATTATATGCATAAAACTTTAACATATAACCTTTATACACATATTTGTAAATAACTTCTCCCACTTTTTACGTATAAAAACATGAAACCAAGAGCCGAGGGGCCTAACTCTCCGAAACACGCCAAACAAGGAATTACATTGATTCAAAACATATTTTGATGAGTCAAAAGAAAAAAATTTCAAGGACAATATTGTAAAGTGAAAAGAAACAGAGAGAGGGAATGTAACCTCATTCTCGAGATGATGCTTCTGTTCACTAGAAATGCCGCAAAAGGGTGTAATATCGCCGACAATCGCCTCACTCAGGTCATGCACCAGTGCCATTCGAATGCATTTGGCCCGATCGAACCCAGAATCATCCAGAACCATTGCCAGCATCGCCATGCGATACATATGAGAAGCAACTGTCTCCGGCTCCTCGATCTGCAATCACATCAGCTAATTTCCACGCAGCACGGCAAGAAAGGGCCCGAAGAGGGAAGGCTATTTCAGTCATGAAAATGAGCCACACTTAAAGGCCTGTTTCTGTTCAAGTTCACCCACTGTGTATCCGGGCCTGAGCGGCACAATGAGCCAATCAAAAAATAAATAGTAACGCGCACCAGACTAGCTGGTGCGATCATGCATTTTGTGCAATTCAGCCCGTTGAACGATTGCCTATTAATAATTTTCACTGCTTTTTACTTTTGTCTATGCAAAAATAGTTCAAACATTGGAAAATAGTTAAAAATTTCATGCACCAGCGCATAAAAGCTGAATTCGAAACCTTGAAGGATGAATATCTTTCCGTGTTTCCCGAGTTAATAGTTTACTCGCCAAAATTCTCACGAGGCCGTAGGTGATACTCAACAGCGAGGGAACGCTGAATTTGAATAGGC